GTTGTTTATCTTTTCTTATACTTTTTGGCCATTTACATTTCTTTTTCTGTGGATTCCCCACCATCTTTGTGTATTTTTAGGAATTGATCCATCCCATCCCCATTGATATATGTGCAATGCCAATTTTGTCATACATCAAGTTTTCATACACACATAGGTCTTTGTCAGGGGGGCCTTCTATCATGTTGAACTAATATACTTGATCACATCTGTTCCAATACCAGTATCTTCATTATTATGTCTTTATAATAAGCCTTCCTATGATGTAGGACAAGTCCCCTCCTACCCTATCCACCTTCAACCTTCTAGGATTTTGAATGGAATTGCTTTGAATCTATAGCTTCATTGGGCGAGAACTGAGGGGTTTTTTTTGTTTTTTTTTTTTTTTGTTTTTTTTTTAATAATATTGAGTCTTCTATCTAAGACCATGTTTTGCTTTTCCATTTCTTTGGATTTTCTTTAATGCTTTTCAGTAAGGGTTTGTAATTTTTCACTTCACAATATAGCTTGGAGATTGTTCCAGATCACATATAGAGAGCTGTTTATTCTCTAAAGAGCTTCATGGTGTTTCCATGTGTGGAATTTATTTTACCAGGCCCCTAATGATATCCTTTGAGGATATCTATGATCTTTTTATACTACAACAATGCTTCAGAGGATATCCTTGAACTTAGTTATTTGAGCACCATTCTAAATTTATCTGTAGGAGAAACTCCTAGAAGAAAGATTACTGGGTCAAAGGGTATTTGCACACTGTGAGCGAACACACCCTCCCTTCCAGAGAGGCTGTGCCATAAAATCACTCTCCTTAAGGTCAACAAATATAATCAGGCTTTCATTGGATTTCCATTCTCCTTGTCTTCTTTGCATCATCAGAGACTTCACCATAGCCTCCTTTTGGAAATTCTCTTTAGTTTCTGTGGCTCTGCATAAAGGACAAGACATTCTTTATTAAACCATTCATTCATGTGTTGGCTTATGCATTTACTCACTCATTTCATAGTTAAGTGCTTGGAACTGGGGAGTCCACCAGGGGGCCCTCCCATCTTATTTATCAAGTAAAATATTGCCTAATCGTTCAGTATATGCCTGTCTCCATGTAACTGAAAGCATTCATTGCCAAAACAGGAGAGTAAATGTTCAGAGTTGGGGAAACTGAGGCATAGGGAAATTAACTGGCTTGATAGAGTGCAAGGCACACGTGTACATGGCCTCAGGGGAGACTTCTGTGGAAAGGCATGGCTTCCTCGGAGAGGGAACGCCCTTGCCCTCCTGGTTTTCTGCAGGTGTGAGGACCATAAAGAAACCTATTCACCTGGTCTGTCCTTGCAGCTGCCAGTCCTGATCTCCACCTGTCCCGAGCTGCTCAGAACGTGGGCAGCACCGTCCAGGAGCCACGAGCATGGGCCAATGGCCAGGGAGGCTGGATCTGTCTGCCAAGTTTCCACTTTTCCATCTTCGCAGCTTCTTCGAAGCTCTGTGGAGACTCTCCCCACTCCCACCCCTTGGCAGTGGGACGTCACCATCGGAGCCGGCTGGTCGCTACCCCTGGGAACAGAATTCAAAGTTTGCAATACCAATCTCTGTCCTTGTGGGATGACTGGGCAGCCCGACCCAAAATAGTTGGGAAAGGCGGGATGTTAGGGCCGCGGTGGGAAAAATCACAGTGCTGCTAATGACATGCTGTGCTTATCTGGAACTGAGTGTCTTGCAGACTTTAACCGAGGTCACATTGCTTTTTCCAGCAATAACTAAACAGACCCAGCGAGTGGTGGTGACAGGCCCAGGGAGAGAGAAAGAATTACCAAATCGGGGAGGGCACAGGCCATGCTGCCTCCCCTGCCAGGCATTCCAGGAAAATACTTCTTCCCGTTTTAGGACCTACCTGTAACTGAGAATATGGGAATTTGGGAATATTCAGGAAGCCTTTAGGGGTTTTGATCCAGACACCCTTGTGTAGATGTGAGCTCCTAGGGAGTTTTAGGATGGGTTTGTGGGGCTAAGAGAGAGACCTTGGGGAGGGGACTCAGTCTTTCTGGAAGGTGGCTTTGACTTCTGACCCGCAATCTCAGGTCTGATGAAGTCCCCCAGGGCTGGTTTTTTGTTTTTGAAATCTGTTGTTGTTGTTGCCCAATGGGGAAGGATTTTGCCAAAGAGAAAACACTCTGCCTTTTGTTGCTTGGGGACGCCTAAGGCTGGGATGGAAGAAAATCAGTCACTCTACAAGGACATCTCTTGCTTGCCAAAGTTTCCATCTTTCCTACCCACAATTACAAAGCAGAGGTGAAGTTGATGACAAAGAGCATTAGGAACCTGGGATTTTTATTTTTTCCTATATTTGATTTTTTCCTATTTGGGATTTTTTTTTCCCCCATTTTATTGAGGACTAGCTTATATTCTCTGGGAGCTGGCCTTGTGAGTCTTTGCCCATCGCCTGCTGCCTTGAGTTGTGAGCCAAGATGGTGGCACCTAACATGTGCTCAGACCTCAACTCCTATTCTTTGGAATTTCCCAGGCCTCCGAGCCTTGGGTCTCACACAATATTTTGGGAAACCCCAGACTCTCTGTGTTAAGTTTGATACCACTCCTCCCTATCCCCAGTTTCTGCCTCAAGGAAAATGAGTAATCTCTTTTCTAATCTCCTCCTTCCCTCCTCTCCCCAAGAGGGAAGGAAGATTATACTTGTAATAATGGTAGTTGCAATAAACACTGTGTCTGCTCCACCAACCTTTTTATTAATCATGTGGGAAACTATAGGTTCACAATCACTTCTCCCAAATCCCTGAAATGCAAAAACTCTGAAAACTTAGTTTTCCTCTAAATTTGACACACATAAATTTGACAGAACAATGTGACCTGAACTGTCCTGAGACTGTGGATGGTTTGCCTTCATCCCACTGCAGAATATTCAAGTGTTTGATGAAGGGGTGCCGCCCAAAACCCACTGGGTAAGATGCTCTGTGGGATATTTGCACCTGACTCTGAACACATCTGACCTCCTTGGCTCCAGATAAGAGACCCTGGACCTATCTCTGCTTTATAGATAAGGAAACTAAGGCCCGCTGAAGTTTGGTAGCATCCCCAAGCTGCCTCAAGGTAAGTCAGAGCCAGGACAAGGCCTCCTAGTAGGATGAGCCAGGTGCAGCTGAAAGAGAGGACCAGCCTTCTTTCTACAACTCAGCTGTCTTTGCACAACTTTGCACTATATTGGGCCTCTGAGTTCTGTCTTGGAATTATGTTAAAGATAACTGTTTTCCAGTTCTTCAACACCAAAGCCATCTTGGATGGGGTAAAGAGAAAGAATAAATCTCCCATCATCCATAACTTTTATTTTTTTTGAGATGGGGGTCTTGCTCTGTTGCCCAGGCTGGAGTGCAATGCCACGATCAGGGCTTACTGCAGCCTTGACTGCCTGGGCTCAAGGGATCCTCCCACCTCAGCCTCCTGAGTAGCTGGGACTACAGGTGTGTGCTGCCAAGCCCAGCTAATTGTTTTATATTTTGTAGAGACAGGGTCTCACTATGTTGCCCAGGCTGGTTTCAAACTCCTGGGCTCAAGTGATCCTCCCACCTCAGCCTCCCAAAGTGCTGGGATTACAGGTGTGAACCACCACACCCAGCCCATCATCCGCATCTCTTTCTCTTTTGAGTTGTGTGTCCAGCTTTGTGAATTCTGGTCTCTGTCCAGGACTTCCCTTAGTCTGAGGCTCCCAGGCAGGGCAATAAGGAGCCTTCTTTTTTTTATTTTTTATTTTTACTTTTTTTTTTTTTTTTGGAGATGGAGTCTTGCTCTGTTGCCCAGGCTGGAGTGCAGTGGTGCGATCTCGGCTCACTTGCAACCTCCAACTCCTGGTTCAAGTGATTCTCCTGCCTCAGCCTCCCAAGTAGCTGGGATTACAGGTGCTCACCACCACATGCCCAGCTAATTTTTGTATTTTTAGTAGAGATGGGGTTTCACCATATTGGCCAGGATGGTCTCGATCTCCTGACCATGTGATCCGCCCACCTCAGCCTCCCAAAGTGCTGGAATTACAGGCATGAGCCACTGTGCCCGGCAACAAGGAGCCTTCTCATTGCATTGAGGGAGTCCTTAGCTCATAAGAGTTCTAGAAAGGCCCAGATTCTCTGAAATATGGACGAAGGTCTCATAAGGGCTGCAAAAAATACTGTTGTTTTCTCTGGTATCCCTGCACCAAGGGCTATTTGAGGACAGAGTAACTAAGGAAAGGTCAATCCATGTGCTAGGCCTTGCTCCTGGTGACTGGGAAACTTCCTCATGTCACTTACAGGAATGGAGACAAGCTTATCTCTGGCTTTTCCTGTATCAATAAGCAACCCGGGATGTAGGTTTTGCCAAGCCTCAGATATGTATGCCAAGAACACAAGCAACTCCTGATCTTCTAAGCCTAGCGGAGGCCGCATCTCTAGTTGGTTAAGTAGTGTTGACTTCATATCCTCGTTGTGCGTGTCCTCTGAGTTCCCCCGGATGCTGGAGGCCTGGCAGCCTTTCTCCCTGTACTCACAGGAGGGGTTGGCGTACCCAGTCAGGGCCTCTGTGGAGTGGCTGTTGGGTGCCTCACCTGCCCAGAGGCCTCTCCTTCTGTTCTCATCTCCATTCGTCCTCAGCTCTACCCGAGTGCTGGCCTTGCCCAGCCTGGAGCAAGGCAGCGGGCATCAAGCTTGCACCATCTTCTTCCTCTTCCTTTTGATTCTTTTCATCTGTCCAGTTGTTGGTGCAGCAGATGGGAGGACACTCCAGGCAGGCAAAGGTGAGACCTCTTAGTTTTGCTCTGAATGTCCCAATCAGCATCCCCGTTTTCACATCTCCTGTTTGGCCAGAGACAGACCCTCACAGGAGTGATAACAAAACCAAAAAATCCAGCTACAGCATGGAGGTGAGGGGCCGCTCGGAGAGAACAGGGCAGAGCAGGGAGAAAAGAAGCAAAAAAAGGGGGGAACGCTGTTATCATCAGAGCAGACTTCTGCTTCTCTGGCCAAATCCTTCCCCTGCTAGTGATATGGTAAGTTTCCAGAGCAAGCGGGGCTGACGCAGAGTCTAGGATGGAGACTGGGCCCCAACCAGGGCCAGCTCTGGAGCAGCCTGGATTAGGGATCAGGATGGGAGGGCGGCCTATGGGCCTTGTTTAGAAAAAATATTTGTGTATGATTGAGAAAATGTCAAGTTTTCGTATCAAGGAATGAGAGGCCTGATAGAGATTGAGGAGTGCTTCCAGCCAGCCCTGGCCCACCACTGAATTCTGTGCTATTCTCTGGAAAATGGAAATCTTCCGGGCAGGGGCTCCTTCCTAACCTTTAGATCACAGAGCTCTCAAGACCCTGAACAAAACAGTGGACCATCACCTTCCAAAGATGTGTGTGCGCGCGTGCGTGCACACACACACACACACACACACACAAAATTTGGCATTTTGTTACAGGGGGCTCACAGATTCCCCCAAACCTGAGTCCCCTATGATGCATGGGGTGTCTGAGGTCTGCCACTGTTTGGAGACCTGACCCGTCGGGGTTGGCTACGGGGGATCCCTGAGGCCTTGGAGCCCATCCCTCTGCTACCAAGTGACTAGGAGCGCTCAGCCTTGCTGGGCACCCCCATTCTGTGGGGGGCATCCTCGTCCAGGGTTCGCAGCCCCTCCGCCTCTGGACGGACCTCCAGACTCACGGAATCGGCCCCACCCCCACTCTCAGTCTGGCGGGCTCCCCCGGGGGGCAGGAGGAGGCGGCCGCTGCATTTCCCTGCGGCGCCGCGCGGCGCGGGGCACACACGGTTAATCCTCCGCGGCTGCTGTTTGGACGAAAAGCGCTGGGGGTGTTGGAGGCTCCTCGCTGCTCACATCTGGCTGGGCTTCGCTCCTTGCGCGTCTGTCCCACTTTCTTCGTCTCTTCCTTTACTTTCGAGAAACCGCGCTTCCGCTTCTGGTCGCGGAGACCTCGGAGACCGCGCCGGGGAGACGGAGGTGCTGGGGGGAGACCCGTGGCTGCTCGCACCGCCCCCCACCCTCCTCTTCTGCACGGTGGTCCCCCGGAGGACCTTCTCCCCTGCTCTGTCTCCTTCGGCGAGACCGTGCGTCGCCCCGGACCTGGCCGGGAGGAGGCTTGGCCGCCGGGAGATGCTCTAAGAGCGGCGCGGGAGGAGCGGCCGGCGGGACGGAGGTAGGTGGCCCAGCCGGGGGACCCAGCGCCGCCCCGCCCCTGTCCTCGTGGCTCCAGCCTGGTGGCCAGGGCGGGGATGGCAGACACCTGGGCCAGGACGGACGGGGAGCGCCGTAGGAGGGGCCGGGTTGGCGGCGGTGGCGCAGGGGCAGAAAGACCCCGGGTTTCGGGGGCAGCCCTGGCGGCCGGCTATGGCTCAGCCCCCGCCATAGGCGCCTCTGCGCAGGGGGGTCGTGATGGTCCCAGATCTCCCTGACTGTGGAGAAGCCGGGCTCTTCTGCACATGGATACTAACGGGAGTAATTGCACCTTCCCCCCAGTTTTTTGTGGGGTGTTTATCTTGCTTCACTGTTCTCTGGTGCCTTTCTGAGGGTGTGGAAGGAAGAGGAATGATACTAATGCTTGCGGCTGCACCTGGTGGGGATGGCTTCACCCCACTCCATGTCACCGGGACCACCTGACCGCCGGGTCTGTCCAGTCCTGTCTGTGGCCAACCTGGATCCTTCACGGAATAGGAAGCGCTGACTTTGGCCCTCGCATCTGACAGCCTTGGTGTCCTGGAGGGGGTCCAGCTTGGGCAGGAAAAAACAATGCTGCTTCCCCGGGGCCCTCCTGGGAAGCTAAGCTGCCTGTGCCACTGGGAGTGGCCCCTGGCCTGGGGCTGGAGCATCTGAGCCGCCCCGGAGCTTCTGGCCAGGGCTTCTCCTCCGGTGCAGGTGTGGTCCCCACTGTTAGCCCGGGCCTCGCGGGGTCCAATTCCCGGGCCACACTCTTCCAGCCCCAGAAAGCCAGATTATCTTCTATGAACCCTTGGGCCGCCTCATCCCTGCTTGGGAGGGAGGGAGGAAGCCGCCCCCCTCTGTGAGGTGTTCCTGACTCTTCTACCCCACCTAGTTTCTAGGAAAGGCGGTAACATGACGTGCTGGGAGCTTTCTGGTCCTGAGCTTTGAACATGAGAAATGCCGTGAGAAACTGTTTTCTCCTCCGTTGGCCACTTCACGGCCCCAGGGGAGCGTGTGACGTCCTTACAGGCTGCCCGGCCTCTGCTTTTTATAGTGCTGGAAAGTACACGCTGCCTGGCAGGCTGTGCAGCCGTGAACAGCCACAGATAGACGCACTTGGCTGTTGTGTGTGCCGCAGGGAGCGGGAGGACTTGGGAGGACATGCTCCAGGAGGCCTGTCCGGCACCTGCCAACCAGGGAGGAGGGAACCAAGACAGGGAGACGGGAGCCGAGGGCTGAGGACAAGCGGAAGCTTCCCCACCCTCCCTCTTAGACCTGTGGAGCTGGAGAGGCCCCTAGAGACCACCCAACAACAACAGTGGCACTCATCATCTTCATCAGCATCATCATCATCATCTTCATCATCATCATCATGATGTTAGCCACAGGTTTGTGTGTCTGCTTCTCACATGGCAGGTGCTGAACATTATATTAATAATTATAATAGTTATTATAATAGTTAATTCTCAACACTTCTATCAAGGGAATTCTCACTTGTGGGAAGAGCAGAGCTGCAAAGCTCAAGAGGCTCACGGCTTGCCTGAGGTCCTAGAGACAGGGATGGAGAACTCCAGACTCCAATCTGTGTCTTCATCCCAAGTGTGTTGTATGTTTCTTCTTCTTCTTCTTCTTCTTTTTTTTTTTTTTTTTTGAGACAGTGTTTTGCTTTTGTCACTCAGGCTGGAGTACAAGGCCAAATCTCGGCTCACTGCAACCTCTGCCTCCCAGGTTCAAGCGATTCTCCTGCCTCAGCCTCCCAAGTAGCTGGATTAGAGGCGTGTACCACCACGCGTGGCTAATTTTGTATTTTTAGTAGAGACGGGGTTTCTCCATGTTGGTCAGGCTGGTCTCAAGCTCTTGACCTCAAGTGATCCACCAGCTTCAACCTCCCAAAATGCTGGGATTACAGGAGTGAGCCACAGCGCCTGGCCTCTAGGGCATATACTTTTAACCTTCCTATCTGGTGTTGGGAACATGGTGCTCAGCGGGCCAAACTGAGGCTGGGAACTACTCTCTCCCAGCTGCCAACAGAGAATGCCCAGGGGCAGGAAGGACACAGGTTTGCTACCCAGGGACTCTCGACTTTTCCTCCTGTCTCCCTCTCCTCCTTTTGTGTCGCCAAGGGTGGTGTCCCCAGTGAGCTTGTTCAGGGAGGCAGGAAGCCCTAGATGGGTGCTCTGCGGCCACAGGACACCACTGCCCCTCCCAGGCAGGTGCAGCCAGCTGGCGAGGGATGTCCTCCCAAGTGGGAGCAGAGAAAGCCCAAGCTGTCCCAGGAAGGCTGTGGGTTCCCTCCTTGTTCCTAGGAAGTGACCCCCCTGTTCAGGGCAACCAGGACAACAGTGTTTTTGGAACATGCTCCTTTCTGTTCTTCTTCCTGGTGCCTCCCCCCAGCTGTAATTAGCATGACTCATAAACCAAATATTCTGGCATTGAACTTTGCTCATCAAAACAAAGATGAAAAGAATTTCGTAGATACAGTTGTACGTGGGGCCTGGAGCTTCCCGTTTGTGTCTTGTCCTGATGGGTTCCAGTTCCTGGGATCGGGGGCTGTGGCTCAGGTTCCAGAACCTTAGGGAAGGGGCGGGGGTGATGGACACCAGGAAGGGCAGGAAGAAGGAGCAGGTTACACCACCCCCTGGACAGTCCCACCTCTGCCTGACAATCAGTAGCCTCTAGAGATATTCAAGTGGGGGCACTACCTCGTGGGCCACAGGCCATTTCCCCTGTTAACCTGCTGAAAATGGCCTGCTGGTGTCACGGGGCACAAGGCAGCTCTCTGGACAGGACGCTGCCCCGCTGACCCCTTCATGCAGGGTGAGAACTCCCTGCCCACTTGAGAGAGCAGTCTGGAAGAAACAGCGATGCCAGCTCAACAATGGGTTTCTTTCAGGCTCTCCTGGGGCAGCCCAGCAGCCGCTCTCATGAGCCGAGGATCCTTGGGGTCCTGTCCTGGGGTCTATGCTGGGGTCCTTGCCTGGAAGGGTCAGTTCTGAGCTTAAACAGGGACGTGCAGGAGCAGGGCATGCTCACTCCTTTCCTCCTTCCCGAGCCCCGCAGTGAGATACTCCAACTGCCGCCGCTGCAGCCTCTGGTTCTCCGGGTGAGGCATGTGGTGTTAGCAGGAAGGGAGGGGGGAGGGGCTTCGGGGCCATGTGGGAAGGATCTTTATCTCGGGGTCCTTGTCAAGGTCATGGCTGTGTGACACTTGTGCTGGGGTGATATGAGTGGCTTTTGGCACATCAGCACTGCTGCAGCTACCTGTTCTTGCCCACACTTGATTTCCAGAGCTGGGCTTGGCATCTGAATGTGGTTCAAAGGGGGATGGTCTCTGGCAGGGGCACAGGGACCCCCACAGTCCCCACTGTACACTGGGGCACCCCTATCTTGCCTCTGAGGCTCCCTGGAGCTAAGCCCTTCTCCAGCCTCAGACGGGGCTGGCACAGACTGCAGGCCCCTCCCTGGGCCCCCATCCTGTCCAGGACAGCCGTCGGGACGGCTGTGGCTGGGCCTGTGTCTGCCCATCTCCCTGGCTCCTGTAGGAATTTTCCTTGACACGAGACAGAGTAGAGCAGGAGACGGCAGGCAGGGAGGCA